CCCCCGGCAGAGCCATAAGGACATAACTCAGGCGTAACGGAGCGACGCAGATGCGTGGGCTCCGGCCGAAACTCGTACTATCGTCCGCGAGTATGACCCAGTTCCTCCCATTAGTACCGTACCCTCTGTTATTGCATACTTCAATTGAATCAACAATAATCATGTTCTTTCTTCTCCCCGTACAGGAGCGCGCGGACGCGGACGTCTTTGCCGCTCTCAGGGACTGCGCTAAAAACAGCAACTTGTCGCAAGGTGAGTACAAGAACAAGCGATCGAACACCAAGGCGATATAAGTAATTTTCTACCTTATTTTTTTAAACCATTTCTCAGATAAATTACAAAAGGCGTGCAATGGCGAACTTCCGAAAGATGAAGAGCTGAAGAACTACCAGGTAACGTCAAAATTAGTTTGAAAAAAAACTAAATTCAATGAGTAATAAGTTGAAAAATTATTTTACCACTTTGTTTTGTTGCAGTGCTACACCAAGTGTGTCCAACAATTAGTGGGCATTGTAAGTTTCACGCTCATGTGCAGTTTAAATAACTCTCGACCAGTTCTTGCATCTTATGTGGCATTTTATGTTTTCACAGATGTCAGCGGAAGGTGCAGTCGATCCTGTCAAGTCCGCCCAGACCCTCGTCGACGAGAAACAGAGGAAAGAAATGGAGGACATCGCGAAACAGTGCAAGTTCGACGATATGAAAGGTGCGACATGCGAGAAGGCCTTCGCCGTAGATCAGTGCTACTCGGAGAAAAACAACGTGGTAAGTGCAACGCACAGCAGTACGTCACGCAATCATTTCCATTGTTTTGAAAATTTAGAAAAAAAACTTTACTTGTTTTCAGATGTATAAAAACAACTGCAACGACCTCATGAGCAAAACTTTTCCCGCCTAAGGTCAAAATACCATAATAACGCCCCCGTTTCTAAAATAATGTACAATTTGTTTCGACCCCTTAAAAAGAGAAGATTACAAATCTCACCTGACTTCATTTCTAGTCGCAGTCGTTCTTTGACATTTTCATCACATATTTGGTATTAATACATTCACCATAAGATATTATCACTTCACCATCATTCACCGTCATTTACACTAAAATATTGCATAATAAAATCGTTTTACAATTTATTCTGTTTTGAAAAATAACTGCACGCCGACAACCCACCAAATCCGTAAGTTAATGCGTTGATAGACAGGCGCTTACTGAATGACAATATAAGAAGCAGAAAGAAGCTCTTTGATTTCGAAGTGATTTCCTCTGCGATTGTGATGTTAGATATTTTTTGTGGTGTTGTGAGTAATATGAATGGCAACGGGTCACGGGCCGTGTCACGATAGCCAATTCGCATCGTCATGGTCAATGTGATAATTTTCGGAGCGCAGACCACGGCAGCGCTCCTGCTGGTGCTCACAGAAAAAAAATCGTGGCTCTGCTTAGTTTTTAGCACCGGGGATAGAAACCTAACTGAATAGACTCGACTTTATTTAGCACCAGGGCTAATTTTTTAGCCACCCAGGAAACCGCACAGTTTATTAACCGTGTAGCTAATTCCATTTAGCTCTTCAGCTAAATATTTTTACGTCCATCTATTTTTTTTTGCACGGGTGTAAAATTGTGCTGATACCGATTTGCAGGGAACTGAATTTTATTTTTCTGCGTGTGTACCCCACCTCATCGCTAGGAGCCACCATTTGCCTGTAACTGCGGCGCGCCCACGCCCCGCCCCGCCACTCTACGTCACGCCCCGCCCTCTGGAGAGCGGCGAGTCCAAACCGTTGCACACCCATCAGTGTTCCAGCCAAATGAGTCGTCCAGACAGCCCGCTAGGCCCGCTAGGCCCGCCAGCCCCGCCAGGCCCGCCCTTTGGCCAGCAGCAGCAGCCCCCATCATGGCCCCATGGCTGAGCCCGCCGGGCCCCGGTGACGTCAGCCCGACCCCGGCCAATCTGGCGTGTGGCCATGCATCTGGGCCTGCAGGACCGCGCTCGGCAGCCGCAGGTGGGGCGGGGCGCGGGCGGGGGTCCCCGGCCCGGGGGCGAGCTGCGTAGGAGGTGATACGGCAACGATCAGGCAGGGGTACGCGCTGGCGTACAGGGGCGAAACAGCGGATGAGGAGCGTTACCAGAGAGTCGGAAGAACACTATTTTCATTTTTTAGGTGTAGATAGACTTGATGTTATTATTTGCTTTGTTATTGGAGCAAGAGGAACGTTTCTGATTTTTGTTTTGTTTTCTGGTCTGGCCTGAAAAAAAACGACAGGGAGTATGCGCACATCTTTCTCGGTGACAAACAAAGACACATGCATGCAATCATGTTTCCGCAGGTCTTTGCGATGAGGAAACGCTAGGCCCCCCCGCGGTGTGGGGTATGGGACGTGTCGTGTGATTGGCTGCTGCTGCTGCTGCTGCTGTGGGTGCTGTGCTGTTGCTGCTGCTGCTGCCGAGGCCGTGCGGGGCGATCGGCCACAATAGAGGGAGACTTTTCATTCACAACGACAGACACACGACGTATCTGGCAGCAGCGGGCCGGGCTGTACGCGGCACGGCGCCAGCTCATCCCCGCACACACACAGACACACATGCACACTCACGCCCGTCCAACTTGTGCAACATGGACGGAGCCATCGACCTGCCGGGAGCTGTGCGATGATGAGTCGCTCGTTAGTCGCCGATGAGACTGGACCATGTCGTGACACATGCCGACGACGGAGACGGCCGCTACTCTGGAGAACACGCGCGCGCGCCTCTCAAGCCTCTCATCGCTTGCAGCAGCTCGGCAGCAGCGGAGCGGGGACCCCGGGAACGCCGCACAGGTAGGCAACCCGGCCGCGCCCCTGTTCCCGCGTTGCCTACCCGTCGGGCTGATGCACCTGGCCGCTCCCCCCTCCACTCGCCCCACTCTTCTCCTCCGCCCGCCACAGAGACGAACGGATTGGAGTCGCGCTGGGATTGGCACTAAACCCAGCGGCTGCAGCAGCTGCTCTAGTGCTCGCCCCACTCCCCCCCCCCCTCTCCATCTCTCTCTACCCTCGCCTGCGCGCGGTCTTACTTAACTGCTGCGCGGGCCGAGGCAACGCGTAGGTCAGGTTGGTCTCCCGCGGTGCTCTTCCTCCGCGAAGGATGCTCTACCGGTCGCCCGGAAGGCTGCTTGTGGAGCCTTGTAAAGCCTGTAAAGCCTCTTGCAAAGCCGCAACTGTGATCGGACGTGCCCCTTAAATCCGCGTTTGAATGGACGCGGCACCAACGCCTCGGCAAACCAGAGCCATGCGCCCTGTAAATAAAAGGGTGAGCAGAAAAATAAGTGTGGGTATAAGGTGGCATTTCCAAAACTGGGATGTATTTACAATCATTCACATATTGAATAAATACAATTCTACTTATGTACTGATATTATCATTTGTTGTTATTATAATTTCTACTCCCCATTTTTTCGTTGTTTTTATCGGCTGGTCCCTGTGCACAGCATGCGCTGGCCGTCGGGTGAGGCGAGACGGAGAGAGTTCCATTGACTCCAATGACTGTACGACACGATGAGCAGATGAGCCAATAAAGAGAGACGCAGAGAGGGAGAGGGAGAGAATTGATTGAGTCGTCTTCCCACGAGGTTATCATGCGTTAGGCAATGATATGGCGGTCTGCTGCTCTGCTTCGCTGGTAATGCTGATAATTCCGATCTGAAATTGTGCGCTCGTGTTAGCCTCGAAACGGGAGGAGAGGACGATGAGAAAGGAGAGGAGCGAGAACTAAGAGGAGGAAGAAGGAGCTAAAGATTAAAGGGGAGAGGAGGAAAGGAGGGGGGGGGGGGTAGGGGTAGGGGACAAGTACAAATATGCGTACAGAGTTTTACATCGCAGGCATAATTCTAGCCGCCCGTAACGAGGAGCCCAATTTGGAGTAAGCCTATCGGGACCGGGGCGGCGAGCGCTACGCTACGATGCGCTGGGGAGGCACGGGCGGCGGTGGCGGAGCGGTCGGGACTGATGTGAGCAGCGCGTGTGCAGGTGGGCGAGGCAGGGCGGGGGGACCCGTCGCGGCGGGGTGGCCTGAATGGGCTTTGGCGAGTCCATCACTGTCAATCAGAGACGCTCTCAGTCCTCGCCATTAAAATGCCCTTCAGAGACGGTCATTCGTCCCGTGCCGCACGAGACCCCGTGCCCTCCTCACGGTTACTTGGCAGGAGGCGCCCGCCCCCCCCCCTGTGTGTGTGTGTGTGTGTGTGTGTGTGTGTGTGTGTGTGTGTGTGTGTGTGTGTGTGTGTGTGTGTGTGTGTAAGAGAGAGATGGAGACAAAGTAGCGGCCTGTCCACAGACGACACAGTAACAGCGAGAACCGTGTAAAGTTAATTTTCCAAGTTCAAGAGGAGCAAAACTTCAACACTCTAATCATGGGTTAATACTTCTTCACTCATCTGATAAAAATGCCTTGTGTGATTCCCATGATGTGTCACTCCCGTGGGAGTGATGTGTCACTCCCGTGGGAGTGATAAAATTTTTCTCACAAATTTTGTGTAATACTTCTTGCAAAATAATGCAATGAATTCGGATTTATTGCAAAACGGTGTGATGCACATTGCACAGATCTAGAATACCCCAAAGTATCGCAAAAATAGGAGATGACCATTTTAAATACAACCATTGAATTTAATGCTGCTATGATCATCACAGTATCGTGCAATATTTTTCTTGTATCACAAAAATGTGCAGTCAGTATCACACTCTTGATTTACAGTGAATGGATGGACCCCACTTTCTCTAGTAACTGATTTCTTTATGATTCAAAAAAACAGTTTAATTGAATGATCCCAACGTGCAGCAATCCGCTCCTTTGCTCCCAACAACCGATTTATTTTCGCAAGTGTGGGGGGGGGGGGGAGAGGAGGAGGAGAGGAGGATGAGGAGAAGTGGTGACGTGGGCGTTGCGCTCCGTGCGTCTAAACGGGATGAGCTGGGAGTTGGTACCACTGCTGCGACACGGAGCGGAGACAGGACTCGGTCCCGGGGTGAAGGGGGGTGGGGGAGAGGAATGCATGTCAACTGCGGAGGGGGACGGGTGGAGTTTGTAGACGTAGGCCCACCCCGCCGTGGCGGGCGGGGCGCGCGGGGCGGAACGCCTTCAAAGCATATCCTGAGGAAAGCGCCGTGGGAAGGTACGCGGTGGGCTGCCGGGCGTGGCGGGGCGCAGTGGGGTAGGCTTGGTACTTGGTGTGGACAGTACGACCTATACACCTTTAGGCGGCGGAACGTGACCTGGGCGGTGCACCCAGGAAAGCCCAGTCGTCGTGGCACAAGAACATGCACCCAGAAAACGGTATCCTCAAACCAAGGAAACTTCTTCAAAACAAAAATACAAGGACATTTTTGACCTTTTTTTAAGGTTTTTCCGTTGTTTTCAAGGAAATTAAGTTAATCAAAGGAAATTTTTACTTTATTTTAACGGCATTTGGCTGAATTATCCTTGTACCTTTTTTTTGGTAGGTAAAAATAGCGTCGAAGCACCGCCCCGTAGTTTCTACATAATACGGCTGAATGAATAGAAACAAAATGACGGGGGCGGTAGTGTTCGGGTCCGGCCGGCGGGCTCCGGGCTTGATGCTGGGCCGTGGGCGCCGCTGTCGGGACGAGCCCGCCTGTTGCGCTCCAGGGGCTTTCTAGTGATCAGCCTCCCATTCCGATCGCCCCCTCCCTCTACTCTCTCCCTCCAACTCTCTCCGCTCCCCCTCCTCTATTTCTCTCTCCGTCCTCCACTTGTTACTACTTCTCTTCATGCACACAGTGCTGAAACACACACACACAAAACACACACGTTTTCGGCGGTGCCTCTCTACTGTGCGGCTCGACTCGATTTAGGAAGCGTTGGCTTTTATTTATCTCCCTATCCCGTCGCTGCCGTGCGCTAGGCTGGGCTGGGGAGGACGCATATTCGATGGCTCGGCGCTCGAATGGCCAAACAGGGCCGGAAGCCTAGCAGCGAAAAAGAAGGGAAAAATACCTAAAACGATACGACAAAAAAAGATTAGACAATTAGCATGCAATATTCAGGACACGTTGGACATGGTGGGTTTCCTACCACAGCGCCTCGCTCGTAACGCAGCTCTATCATTTTGGATTTCGGCGTCACCAATTTTCCCTGCGCTTTTTTTTTCCTTTTGACGTCACGTCAGATTACTTACTCTCAATTTTGCTGAAGAATGAAGCCTCAAAAATAATAAGAGCAGCCCTGTCCTGTCGTGTCCTTATTGCACGTGTTAAGAGCGAGACAGAAAGGCTGTAGCTCATTATGAGTTTTGTGTGGGTGAGGCAGAGACGATTCCCTCGCCTTGGTCGGAGTGAAAGACGCAGAAGAAGAAGGTAGTTATTATTCCTACGACGCTTTTTTTTCCTCTGGGTGTCTCTGCCTCCGTCTGTCTGTCTTTGGAAACACACCCCCACCCACGCGCACCCAACAGCGGCATAGCAGCAGCAGACCTAAACCAGAGGGGGCAGAATAGAGATGAGGGATGGGACGAAAGCTGTAGCATGGAGTATGCACAGTCTGAAGGAGCAATGCGCGCTCAGCCGAGGCGGAACAGCTTGGAGCGCAGGGACAAGGCCGAGCCTGCGCGGGCCAGCCCGCCCGTCCCTCATCTCTAGTGCAGAAGCGAAAGACGTCGGCCAGAGAACCTGTAATCAGCCATTGACGCCCGGAGGTCGGCGCCCAAGACGCAAAAGTGATTAGTTTGTCGTGACGCTCCGGCGTCTGATGCTGATCTGCCTGGTCTGGCGTTCCGTCCAGCGCGCGCCGTGATTAGAAGAGAAGCCACGCTCCAGCGAGCGTCCCGCCCCGCCAGCCCTGCCCTCGACTGCCCTTTCATCAGTGACTGATCACGAGTGGAGACGTAACCAATGCACTCTTGGTTCCTTTCAAAGAGAAGTCTTCACATTACGCAGAATTGGGTTTGTAACGTACAAAGGATCTGGAACCAGCGTATTACAAACGGATTTTCTCCGTATTACACGGACACGCGTGCTCTTCGAATTACAAAGCCGAACCCTTCGTAATACAAAGGATTTGTTTGTATTACGAAGGTGCCAAATCCTTTGTAAACTTTACAAAGAGCAGGTCTTTGTTAGAGACTTACAGTAGTGTGATGAGGAAGAGACTCGAGAAATGTACGATGTAAAATAAAAAACAAAAACAGATAAGAAAATCACACCGCTCTTCACTGTGTAGACAGCGAAGAAGGGGTAGAGACAGTCTCGGGAACTGTCCAAAAATCCCCCCAAATCGTACTGAATAGATGTGGCTGAGTGTGCAACAGAGCTCGGCAAAATCGCCTTTGTTTTTGGCTGATCGAGCGCGGCCAGAGCTCCGGCGACGGCGGGTGGGCGGGCGAGCGCCCGGTAGGTAGGCAGCGCGTGCGCGCGGGGGCGGGCGGGCTGCCTACGGTGCCGGCGCCCGCCGCAGCTCGCCCGAGACCGGCGCGCGCTGAGGGGCTGAGTGATCGCATTGCCGTCCTGATGAAGGAACTCAGCCCGCCGGATAATTCCGGTAGCGTTTGCGTGGCGGATATGAATGTGGCGACGTGTTGAGGCGAGTGTGAATGATACGCGCCCCATTCAACTCCCACTCGTATGGAGCACACCGTGCGGCGGGAAGCGCCAGCGGCAGTGATCACTGATTAAATCAGAAAACGTTCTTTTTTCTTTTTTTAAATGCCCTATCCGATGATGATTTCTGTTACATTGTACCATTACATTAATACCATCTTTCGTGTGGCCAAACATATTTCTTCACAATTCGGAGAAAGCAATATTCTACAATTTGTTTAAAGTGA